GATAATTCTTCGGCCCATAGTTGATTAACGAGATGCATAGTCGAATTACATATGTATTAGTATACTATCCCATATCATTTAATAGACTATCCCACTGGTATAATTTTACTATGGATCTCGTTAATCGACTATGGGCCGAAGAATCATCAAAACCCTAGATTTGAGAAGTGACGGCGGCGGATTTGTGTTTTAAAATTAATAGACTATCTCATATCTTTTAATAGACTATCCCATGTATCTAATTCGACTATGGGTTTAGTTAATTGACTATTGGAAAAATAATAATATATATGGAAACTGAATAATTTGTTTGTTTGGAATACTAATCAATTAGGGTAATTTTCCTTATTATATGAAAACGATTAAGGTAAATAATAATGTATATGAAAAAATAATAATATATATGGAAACTGAATAATATGTTTGTTTGAAATACTAATCAATTAGGCTAATTTTCCTTAGATCATGTAATAGACTATCTTATTGATCTAATTCGACTATGGATCTCGTTAATCGACTATGGATCCCGTATTATTCAACCACATAGTATATTAATAATTTCAATATAGTACATTGATCTGCTATGATAGTATATTACGGTTATAGTAGTGATATGAATTGTGTTACAAACAATATACCACTGAAATGACAAGAACATTGAGAACAACACCAACGTAAAGTATTCCAACATAACCAATAAAATAGTACATTAATAATCTCATAATTTCAATCTAGGGTTTGATAAAATACATAAAACACATCATAACACAATCAAACCAATATGTCGAGTTAAAACTCTAGTACATTAATAATCTCATCATAGTATAATAAAATGATAATGGTAGTATCATACGGTATTCATAATAGTATACTACTGTATTACAACGGTTTAAAACTTAACCGAAGTTACCGAGCCATTACATCGTAAACACCTCTTTATAGCAACCAACCCACCAAACCTCAACAAAATCCGTACGAAATTCGCCATCGAAAAAACCTAAAATCATGAAACAAAATTAAAAATGCAGAAAAATATATTTTAAAAAATACGATAACTTAAAAAATACTACGAAATATATTTTAATGTAGTACCCAGCGTCCTAAAATCCGCTGTTATAAACAAATAAACCAACTATCGACCGGGATCAGACTCATGAACTCCACGACAGCGGACAATTATTTCAATTAATGCGTAAACCAACTACGATGTTCATATAAAACAACTCTGGTCCGATATGCGTGAACCATCCTCATCTAACTCTGTCAATCCTCTTCCAAACAAACATCATCCGCCAAAAATAACGATGTATATATGACGGAATAATTTTGTTAAAAAACGTTCTACCTAATAGAATCAAGTATCAACACAACTCTTAAAAATTTCTAACCACTGTAATCGACAATCCTAGACATTGAGCGAAAAATAAAAATGAATAACGCATTCATACCCGGCTTGTTTTGTTGCGTAATCCCAGAGAGCATGTCTTGCCCTACACTGGGGACTTCATGGATGGCTTCTACAAAACGCTTGATGTAGTTGCGGAGCGTTTCGTTATCTCTCTGTACTACAGATAAAAGGTGGGCTGGGGTCTTGGCATACTACTTGTTGATGGCGAATTGGTTGGTGAACCGTGTTGACAGTCGAGCGAAGGTGTCAATCGATCCCGTGGGTAGAGAGTTGAACCAATTAATAGCTCTCTTGGAAAGAGTGGTGCGGAACATTTTGCACATCGCAGCGTCCGTCGGGCCATACAAATCTGCCATGGCGTTGAATTTCTCTATATGCTCTTGTGGATCGGTGGTCCCTTCAAATTGAGGTAACCCCGAGATCTTCACTCCTTGAGGTAATACCTCGTTGAGAATGTCTATGGTGAAAGGGCTGCGTCTTACTGGGACGGGCATTCTTTCACCCATTGGATTGTTCATTTGGGGGAAAGGAACTTGGCGAGACATTTTGTTGTTTACCTCGTCTTCTCCTTCATTAAAGAGAGGGACTCTCTGTGGAGACGCTTCCCCCCGTGGGGGTGAGCGCTGACGTTGCTGTCTGGGTTGTGCCCCCCTGTGATTGGTGGATAGCTGTATTCGGGACCGTGGGTCCGAGGTGGAAGAGGAGACACTTATTTGCTTCTGGACTGGCGGTGGTGCCATAGGTTGCACCACAGGTGGAGCTGGCGCTGGTATCACATTGGGAGCGTTTGCTCCCATCGTGGCGATATATTGGGTCACGGCCTCGGTGGCGGCGCGAGTTGAGGCTTCTGCTATCATGCGTTGGAGCGCATCCTCGGTTATTTGAACCGTTCGAGGAGCAGGGAGTGGCGGATCTGCGAGTGGTGGGTCCCGAGGGGGGATCACCTGAATCTCGCGAGGCGGATCCGCGGCACGTGGAGGAGGTGGCAAGCCAAATCCTCCACGGACGGGGAGGTTGTTAGCCGTGTCATTTTCTCTCCGAGCAGACGCCTCAGGAGGATCTTGTTGGCTACGTGATCTGGTTTGCATCGTTCCCACATACGGCGCCAATATGACGATGCTAATTACTTAGATCACCTAGGGTAGTGTAGAAAACGAGCTGGGAGAGCAAAGCGGATCAGTAGCTTGACAACTTGATGATCCTGAGGTCCCTGCGAAATGAGCACACGCGAACTAAGCCGGGGGTTGATCCGGCGGAAACCCCTCCGACGCTCAAGTTAGATGTACGGATCGTGGAGATAATAGAGAGAATAAAACTCTAGATTGTTGCTGGATAATAAAACGTACCTTGAGTAAAACATCTATTTATATGTCGTTGATTGGGTTGGGCTTACTTTGTTGGGCCCAAGCCTTATTTTGAAGGTGCTTGGACTTTCATGTAGTGGGCCCAATTGTAGGTGATTGGGCTTTCTTGTGTTGGACCTAATTATTAGATAAATTGGGGTTCATTGGTTCGACCGAATTAGGTATATCAATTTCAATTGGTCAAATTAAAAGGGGATTAAGCCATAAAAAAATAGTATATAATTATGAAATTGAAAAATTCAAACAATATAATTGGGAAAATTAAAATGGGATTAAGCCATAAAAAATAGTATATAATTATGAAATTGAAAAATTCATTGGGAAAATTAAAATGGGATTAAGCCATAAAAAAATAGTATATAATTATGAAATTGAAAAATTCAAACAATATTAGTTGTCCTATACTCAAGTTGAAAGAAAAGAAGAGGTGTAAGGATAGAAAACAGTGGTTGGTTCTGGTGAGCTTCACTTTGACACTTGGATTACAATATTCCAAATCGCTTCAATAAAATGAGTAGGTGTGCATGAACATTGAAATAACAAACAAGTTGTGTAAAAAAAAACAATCAACAAAATAATAAATTATATATTTTTATAATTCAACTATTCAATTTATATTATATATTAATTCATTGAACCATATATGTGACTTTTTTTTAAATGTTTTTTTAAGTAATATGGATGTGATAGTCGCGTCGCGTTTTCTACACATTTTTCAAGATTAACCCTTCCACGAGGTTTGAAGTCTTTTTAGTATGCGATATAGGGTAAATTTCGAAAATCTCTCAGAACTTAGGTCAAATAATAAAAAAAACATCTCTATTTATCCGTAATAACTAAAACCCACTTCTGATTAACTATTGATCGAGTTTTTTTAACAGAAAATGTGTACGGTTTATTATACCTTCCATTAAATTAGGTTAGAAATAAATGAAAATATCTGAAATTGTTTAAACTCTATTCTCTGGGATAAAAAAAGAATCTGTGAGAAGTTACACTGTAAGAGGGTTGGTGTATGGGAAACAAACCTCAGAGAGTTTTTGATAATTACGAATAGGTGTAGGTATTTTTCGTTATTTAGCTTTAGTTCAGGATATTTTCGTAATTTACCCTACAATATACGTACACTGGTGTTTTTATTTACTTATTATTTATTTTTGCAGTCAGACGTGATTGGCTGTGGTTTATTCCTATTTTCACATTAAAGATTAATTAGTAGAGTATTTGTAACAAATTCAGATCAATGATGGCGGCTTTAACTCTGCTAGTTGAAGGAATTATTTATAGATTTAATTCATTTATTTTCCTTGTATTAATTGGAAACCTTCATTTACCTCCCTTGTAGTATCAAAAACTTCATTTACACCCCTGAATTATATATTGAGCCTATTATATCCCTTTTAAAATTAAATATCTCCCTCTTTTATTTTCAATAATAATCTCTTCAACTTCCATTATTTTACATGCATACTTATTTAATTATTTTTATTATAATTATATTTTAATTTCTATTTCTTTTTATTTTTGTTCGATTTTATAGAAAAAAATTCTCTTAAAAGATTTTATTTCCATCTAATTAATCTCAAGTGTTGACATTTTATCTTTTATAATAGAATTCATTAAATTTTGATTACTAGTTTTAATTATTAGATTTATTTAATCAAAATAATACGCCATGAATAATTAATATATCACTAAAAAAAAATAAGATGTATAATAAAATTTAAATGGCAAATATCATTGTAAGGATTTAACAAATAAATAATAGAAAAAAATATTTTCACTTCGATTCTTTTGACACTTTATCTTTATAACATATTGTTTTTGAAGAGATCTTTAGAATAAATATTAGTTAGATAATTATAGAGTTCAGTACAATAAACATAAAACAAAAACGAGCAAAAATTGAAAATAAAAATGAGGATAAAAATTACAACACTAGAATATTTTTTATTATAAAATTGAAAAGATTCAAGTTTGTAAAATAATAAAACATAGATACTTGTCTTTAAGAAAACTAAGAAGACAAGGGTATAGCTGGTATAACATGTAATTTAGGGGGTGAAATTGAGGATTTTAATAGTTGAGGGGTGGTAAGTGAAATTAACCCCATTTTTTAAAAGATATATAAATTAACTTAACCATCATCTTTGTTTTCTTGTGCTTCATACACACACAACAAAATATCAATGTCTTCTCTCTCAAGATTTCAATAGACACAAATTAAAATGGCAATAATTCTGATATTTCTTCTGTGTTTCTATCCCACATTCATATTATCCACAGATGAATCCTCTCTCCTAACCCTAAAGTCCCGGATTATTAATAACTCCGGCGCCGCCGTATTATCGACAAACTGGACGGAGAAAACGTCGTTCTGCACGTGGATCGGAGTCACGTGCAGCCGGAGACACCCGAGAGTCACATCACTCAATCTCTCCAGCATGGGATTGGAAGGCACGATCCCCGAAGAAATCGGTAGCCTCTCGTTTCTAACATTCCTCGACGTCAGCAACAACAGCTTCTCCGGAGAAATACCCGCCCGAATCGGGAACCTGGCCCGCCTCCGCGTGCTGAAAATGTCGAAGAACCAGCTCGAAGGTCAAGTTCCATCGAGCCTCGGTTTTCTGAGAAATCTTGAAATGCTGGATTTGGCTGATAACACGCTAACCGGGGAAGTTCCTTGGCAAGGTCTGTTCGATATTTCGTCTTTGAAGGTGATCGCCTTCACGCGTAATTACCAGCTTTCGGGTGCGTTTCCGGTCGAGATTAACTGCGGTGCTGCGTCGAGATTGGAGCAGATACGGATTTCTTTAAATCAATTCGGTGGCGATGTACCGGAGAGTTTATCGAGATGTGGGCAGCTCAAGATTATTTCCTTCTCCTACAACAATTTCACCGGTAGCTTAACCGGTTTCGAAAATTTGCCGCAGCTTCGGATTCTTGCACTAGCAGTAAATCAATTTTCAGGTATCAACCCTATTTGCATATCTCATGTGTTTTTTAAGTTTAGTTGCTATATAATTATTAAATTAATAAAAAAGAAAATCAAACTCAGCATGCATTCACATGCATGATTGGATTGGTGGGTAAACAGCATCAAACCTGCACCAAACCCTTGTGTTCCTTTTCTGGCATGAAATCCTCTTTTTTTGTCCTTATTATATGCAAGTCTTTTTTACAACATAAGATGAACTTACACAATTTAAATCATGCATATATTCTTTTCACATATGATATATGATAATTCAAGAATAAATTATGCAAGAACTTAGTAATTTTAATTTTATTATAAATTAAATGTACATTTTGGAGATTTGATTTTTAATGTAAATATCTGAAGTCATATAAAAATTTGAATTTTTTTTTTATAAAAACATTTGTACGCATCTACAATAGAACCTCGATAAACTAATACTCGATAAATTAATAACTTCATTTAAATGATATGTTTTCTCGGTCCCGACTCGAAGGCAACATGCTAAAAAATATTTCATTAAATTAATATTTTGCTAAATTAATAGAATTTAACTAATCCCGACTTTTGATTTAATTTTTCTTTATATTATTTTTGGAAAAAAATAAAATTTAAATTTTGTGAAACAAAATGAGAAAAAAATTGTTTCAAGAATGAAAGTTTTGAATTGAAAGCCGATTATATTATTTTTAAAATTCATTCCAATGTTCAACCTAACTATTATTCTTCTTCTATTTTTCAATATTGTAAATCAATAAATGTGTTCCAATTAACTAAGAATTTGAGTTTTAAATGGATAATCTAATTTTGCTTAAATGTCTCTCGTATTGTAGAAAATATGCACCAAATCCCTTTATTACATTAAAAAAAAAAAATACATCGCTAACGGTGTTAGTTTTTAATGATGCATATATTGTTCGGTATACCGTTACTTTTTAGTGCGGTGTTGTGGTATAAGGCACTCTACCATAGGGGTGTAAACGAGCCGAGCTCGCTTTATTTCGCGAGCTCGAGCTCGACGAGCCTATAATTTTCAGCTCGAACTCGAGCTCATTGTGTTTCTAAGGAGCTCGAGCTCGAGCTCGAGCCATATACCAAACGAGCCCGAGCTCAAGCTCGGGCTCGAGCTCGGTACAATCAAATTTTCATTCAATTAAAAAATTAATATTATTCTTTTTTATTTATTATTAATAATATCCATTATTATATATTATTAATATGTATTAAAAATATAAAAAAAAGTTAAAGCTCGCGAGCTATCGAACAACTGAAATGAAGCTCGAGCTCGACTCGTCGAAAAGCTCAGGCTCGAGCTCGATTTTTCGAGCTCGAGTACGAGCTTTTTTCGAGCAAGCTCCGAAGCTCGCGAGCCGGCTCGACTCATTTATACCTTTACTCTACTCTACCATTATATTATATTAAATTAGTTGTAAATTGTTTTGGTCGTTTTAGTTTTCCACCAATAAATTCGATATATATGTAAAATGAGAAACTTTCGCTTACCTCCCTCATACTATCAAAACCTTCACTTATCTCCCTGAATTATATCTTGTACCTATTATACCCTGCTTCAAGATAAACATCTCCATGACAACTATACTCATTTTCCAGGTACCATTTCACCCTCAATTGGAAATTTATCAAATTTGGAAATATTGGACTTGAGTGTCAACCTTTTACATGGAATAATTCCTTCCGAAATCGAAAAACTTTCGAATTTAAACTTTATTAGCCTCGGAGAAAATATGCTAACTGGTGAGTTACCGATATCTATTTTCAACCTCACTAAATTAGACACACTTTCTCTTCCAAAAAATAATCTTGTCGGAACCCTCCCGATTTCCATCGATAAAACCCTTCCAAATCTTCGACTTCTCTATCTCGGTAACAATTTGTTCTCTGGAAAGATTCCTTATTCCATCTCGAATCTTTCCAAGCTCACTATTTTCGATGTTTACAACAACTCTTTCACTGGAATTATACCCACAAACCTTGGAAACTTAGAGCAACTCCAAGTACTGAGACTCGGAATGAACCAATTCACAAATGACCTTTCTGTCCCTGAAGAAGAATTCATCACATCCCTCACAAATTGCACGAATCTCGCAATCTTGGAAGTGCCACTTAACCCTATAACCGGAGTGCTACCAAAGTCTATAGGCTCCGCAAATTTCTCGGCTTCTCTTGAGCAGTTTGTTATATACTCTTGTAGACTTAAAGGTCGAATTCCGGAGGAAATCGGAAATCTAAAAAGTTTAATTTGGTTATCCCTCGGGGATAACGAGTTTACCGGAGAAATTCCATCGATGTTGGGTCGTTTAAATAACATGCAGAAACTCGAAATCTACGGAACGAATCTGCATGGATCGATTCCTCAAAGCCTTTGCAGCCTCGAAAATATGTATTTTCTAAGTTTGGGGAGAAATGGTTTATCCGGAAATCTGCCAGCGTGCCTCGGAGACCTCACTTCACTACGAGAAATTTACTTGGAAGATAACGGATTCATCTCGAACATTCCGTCAAGTTTTTGGTCCCTTCAGCGCATTCAAATCTTTTCCTTATCTAACAATTCATTTAACGGCTCTTTGTCTCCAGAAATCGCAAATTTGAAAGGCGTGCACGTGTTGAAATTACATGGAAATCGGCTCTCCGGGGACATTCCGACCACTATAGGACAACTTGAAAATTTGGTCAATCTTTCATTATCGGACAACATGTTGCACGACTCCATACCCGAATCTTTTGCTAATTTGAAGTTATTGCAGTACTTGGATTTATCACGTAACAACCTTTCCGGTCCGATTCCCAAGTCGTTGGAAACCCTTTCCGATCTTAGTTATTTCAACGTTTCGTTCAATGAGCTTAGTGGAGAAATTCCACACGGAGGGCGTTTTGCGAACTTCACAGCCGAACTATTCCAAGGTAATAAAGGCCTATGTGGAGCACCACGTTTCAACGTTGAGGCATGCAAAAGCACTACCCTTAAATCATCATCAAGAAAGAGCAAACTTCTAAAGTATATTCTACCACCAATAGTTTGTATGTTAGTCATAACAACAATCATAATCTTGCTGCTCACACATTATCGTAGAAGATCATCAGGTACATCGGATAAGTCCGATTTGGCAATTGGCCTCACACACGAGAGGATTTCGTATTACGAAATTCTTCGAGCCACGAGAAACCTCGATGAAGCAAATTTGATCGGGAAAGGAAGCATTGGGTCAGTATACAAGGGAACATTTTCTAACCGTACTACTGCAGCTATTAAAATTTTCAATCTAGACGTGCAAGGTGCATTCAAGAGCTTCGATACCGAGTGTCAAATAATGTGCGGCCTTCGACACAGAAATCTTGTGAAGGTCATCACGAGTTGCTCCAACCTCGACTTCAAGGCATTGGTGGTGGAATATATGCGTAATGGGGGTCTCGACGAATGGCTTTATTCACCTAAGTGTACATTCAATATTGCTCAAAGATTGAGAATAATGATAGATGTGGCATCCGCAATGGAATATCTGCATCGAGGGTATTCTTGTCCGATTGTCCACTGTGACTTGAAGCCGAGCAATATCCTTCTTGATGAAGATTTGGTAGCACATGTTGGAGACTTTGGCATTTCAAAGCTCTTTACTGAAGACCAGAGATTGGCTCAGACCAAAACTTTGGGCACAATTGGTTATATGGCCCCAGATATATATATATATATATATATATATATATATATATATATATATATATATATATATATATATATATATATATATATATATATATATATATATATATATATATATATATATATATATATATATATATATATATATATATATATATATATATATATATATATATATATATATATATATCGGGATTAGTATCGACAGCAGTGGATGTTTATAGTTATGGGATTTTGTTGATGGAAACATTTACAAGAAAGAAGCCGACCGATGAGATGTTTATAGGAGATTTAACCATGAAAAATTGGGTGCTTCAGTCATTCCCCGGTGCGCTAAATCAGATTGTCGATGCACAATTGTTAAATACAGATGAAGAGTATAGTACATTGCACTTGGAATCGATCGTGAGAATAGCTATAGATTGTACTTCGGAAATTGCTGAGGAAAGGCCTAATATGGAAGATGTTCTTGCGATGCTCAACAAGATCAACGTTGAACTTCACGAGACGAAAACTAGTGTGATATTATAATTACCGTATTCAACTCTGTAGCAACGCTTATATATAATAAATTGATTCACCGTTAAAAGAAGTGCGTTCAGTTTCTCAAACCAGTCGAATTAACATCCTTTTCACAAAATCTAAAGTTTCACACTTGAAATAAAATTCCTCACTCGTATAAATTCCATACGTGTTCGTAGTAAAGTTATGTAGCAATAGATGAATCAATAGAGGAGGCTCAGTAAATCAAATTGTTGGTCTAATCCACAAAGAAAGATTTGCATTATTAGCGGAAAAATGCAGGCAAATCTAACGCAACATCAGCAGTTAATTTGTTTTCATCAAGTATGTCAAAGCTGTTTAATAAATTGCCCTCAATTCATTCCACTATAAGTAGTAGTTGTATTTGTTTTCATCATGTATGTCAAGGCTGTTTAATAAATAGCACTGAATTCATTCCACTATAAGTAGTAGTTGTAAACCGCTTCACACAACAGAAAATAGTAAACAAAAAACGATGTACAAAAAACATACAATCTACAAATTGTGGAAGACCCCATTGTTCTGGCTGAAACTCTAGGAGTGAGAAAGTACGGCATCGGCATTGGAATCTGAACCATCTTCAATTTGGAGTGACGGCACTGTTAAAACCTTCATTCCAGCAGCCTTTCCTGCTTTCACACCATTGCTGTTGAAAACAAGATGCAGCAGAGTTAAGGCTTGATATATCATATCAAGCAAAGTAAACACCAACTTGTACAGAGAACTACGTTCGACTATTTTTGTGTCCATTTTCCAGCCATTTTGCCAAAAGTAGACCTTTTAGTCGACAGTGCAACAATTTTGTAAGTTGAGGTATGATCGTGCCATTTTTTTTTGTTTGGAAGGCAAAGCGCAAAAACGGCCTAAGTACAGGGGCAAAGTGCACTTAACCCTATTTTTAATACAAAATATAGTAATTATTGTGTAATTTAATCAACAACGTTTATTAGCGGGTCTTAGTTGATAAGTTGTTTGAAGAGTTGATAAGCTGTTGCGTTACACCTTATTTTAGAATTAGTTTTTCGGTGAAAGTACAGTTTGCACCCAAACTATAGGGCTTGGCTGCAAAGTGAAGTGGTATCATCACCAAGAATATAATAATCTCCCTCTCAAATCTCAATAGAAAACCAGAACCCTCTTTAAGCTTGATGATACTAGAAATATATCACCTTAAGTAGTTGAGATAGAGGGAGCTGGGAAAACAAAGTGGATCACTCGTCACGTGCTAGATAGCCCTGAGATACTTGCAAACAAAGAAGGCATGAACTAAGCCGGAGGTTGATCTGGCTCAAGTTAGACGTGCAGATAGTGGAGATAGTTGAGAGAATAGGAATTGTCGTAATGCTCAAATAATAAGACGTACCTGTAATAAATGAATTAAATCATTTTTATACCTTGTCGATTGGGTCGAGGTTAATTTGTTAGGCCCAAACCTTATTTGAAGGTTATTGGGCTTTCGTAATATTGTTCTTCTAAATCAGGCTCGTGGCCAAGTAGATAGAGAAAATGTAGGCTTATTGGGATGGCCCAATTAGGCATATCATTAGCCCCACTCTCCAGTCGATATGGGAGCCGAGTCAAAAAGGTTACTGGATCGTGTCGATAGTACATCGGTGTTGTAGTACTTCGTTAATTGTTGGCGTGACGTGGACAAGCGATTTGGTAGAGCGCGTTGAAATCCGCGCGCAATTTGGTGGAGCGTGTTGCAATCAGTGCGCGATTGGGTGGTGGAGTATTGGGAGTTGCGCGCGATTGGGTCGGGCTAGTTGGTTGCGCGCGAATTGACGTTGGGTAGTAGCTGAAGCGTGATTTGATGGGCGCATGAGGAAGCGCGCGGGCGTGTGGGCCGCACGTGCGGAGAGAGCGTGCGCTGCACGTGCAGAGAGAGAGAGAGTGCGGGGCATGCATTGCACGCACAGAGAGAGGTAACGGGGCGCTTGCGTAGCACGAACGGAGAGAGAGAGGAGCGCAGTAATGTTGTGCGCGTGAGATGGACGCGCTCGTCGTGCGTGGACGCCACGCGCGTACTGCAGATGAGAGCGAATTTTTTTATTTTTTTTTCTTGGGTCGCGCGCGTGCAATAAGATATATTTTGTTTTTTATTTGGGGGGGGGGGGGGGGAGTGCGTGTGTGAAACGAGGTAAGGGTTAGGCGTTTGGAGCGACGATTTTGGACTAACTGTTGGTATTTCTGATACCACCAATGGGGTAAGTACTAGTAGTCGACGTTATAGAGATAAGTTCATCAAATGACTCTGAGGGGTCTGAGCAAGTTGTCTCCTCGTGGGAGATGTCTTGTCATGGGATAATGATATTGGGAGAATTATCTCCTCGTGGGAGTTGTTTCGTTGTGTGATAGCGATGTTGGGGGAATTATCTCCTCGTGGGAGTTGTCTCGCTTTCACGACGCGGGTGGGGTTGATGAGGACATCATCCGATGGGTGGAGCCGAGCCTTCTCAATGGGAGAGAAGAAGTAGACGATGTCGATGATGTGGGCGGCGATGTAGATGATAGTTATAGTATTTTCATACGTGGAGTAGATGTGTATGCCACTATTATTTCGTTTGCCATTGGTTTGATTTGCTTACAGTTAGCATTGTGTGTGATGTACTTGATGAGGAGATCAGTCTCTAAAGATTCTTTAATGGGGATCGTGCCCCTTATTAGACCTCATGGTCATAAGTATGTTAGGACCGTGGCACGCTTTAAATGTAGGACCCAATTAAAACAGTTAGAGAAGTTTATGTAATCAAGTTGGTCAAGCTATATAAATTATCATAACATCTCTAAGTATTTCCAGGATTAATGTTGACTTGAGCTAATAGTTATGTAGTGAAAGATCAATAACACCGAGAGTAAGGGAAATACCTTATTTTATTCATTGATTGAAATGTGAAGGTTACAAACTTGTTTGAGGCGAAGGTAAATAAACAAGTAGGAAACGAATCGCTCGAAATAACTAAACTTGTACTAAGTAGATGATGTAGGTGTTTCGTCCAATTATTGTAGAGAGGTGAGAGGATGCATCATCCTTAGGGTAGGATTAGGGGTGGCAATTTGGATCCGGTTCCATGGATCCGATTAGATCCGGTTCGGTCCATAAGGATCCAGTTTAGATTAAGTCTAGTTGAAACAAATCGGATCGGGTCAAGTTGATTTTCTTTTTAAACTGGATCCATGTGGATCCACTTTATATCCATTGAAAGTTTAACCAAAAAATAAACTGGGTCATATTGAATCCAACCAAAACCCAATTAAATACCAAAACAATTTTCTCACAAAAAAAAAGTCAAATATTATTTTAATTAAAAGTTTAATCGATAAAAAATTATCAATGAGTATATTAATAAAAACTGTGTGTGTATGTGAGTGTGTGTGTGTGTATGTGTGTAAAACAGTGTGTGTGTGTGTAGAAACTGTGTGTATGCGAGTGTGTGTGTGTGTAAAACAGAGAGTGTGTGTGTATGTGTAGAAACTGTGTGTGTATGTGTGTGTATGTGAGTGTGTGTGTGTAAAACAGTGTGTGTATATATAAACACACATATATATATATATATATATATATATATATATATATATATATATATAGAGAGAGAGAGAGAGAGAGAGAGAGAGAGAGAGAGATAGAGATACACATATATAAACGTGTGCTCTGTTTTTTTTAATTATTTTATTTTGTGAAAAATGTGTGTGTCAGTGTGTGTATATGTGAGTGTGTGTAAAAGTATGTAAAAAGTATGTATGTGCATGTAAGTGTGTGTGCGTGTGTGTGAAAAAGTGTGTGTGTGTGTGTGTGCGTGTGTGTAAAAAGTGTGTATGTGTATGTGTATGTGTGTGTGTGTGTGTGTGAAGAGTGTGTGTGCGAAAATGTGTAATTGTGAAACTTGAGATATTAAACCACATAAGTTGAGATATTAAACCCTAAAAGTTGACATATTCAACCTCATAAGTTGAATTAAAGATGCAATGAATCCAAGTGGATCCAATCCGGATCGGTCTAAATTCGATCCACATTAAATTCATTCATCTAGGTTGATATTGGATCCGGTTCCTTTTGAATCCGATCCACATGGATCCGGGTCGAATCCGGTCCAAGTTGAGAAATTGCCACCCCAGGTAGAATACTCCCCCAATTTAGGATGATGCGATCACCAACTATGTTATGGGCTCGAGAGGCTCCAAGTGTCATTGACATCGTTGGAAGTCCAGAGATGTAGAAGGGGATCGTCCATGAGATGTCGACGATTGTATTCATCTATTTTCCTCTTGGGAGGAGCGAGGGTCGAAGTTTCTTCGATGCGCATGTATTTCCCATCGCGACTTAATAACTCTTTCAGAGTGGCTAGAGGTCTTCCTGCGATAGATTCCTTGAATCTACATTGCTTCAAATTTTGTTGAATGATTCCAGAATGCATGCTTCCTCCCATGTTAGGAACTTTGGGATCTGCCTCTACAAAACGTTGAATGTTGTTGCGGAGGGTTTCGCCCTCTCTGTGTAATAGTGAAGAGGTACGCGGGAGTCTTAGCGTACTCTTTATGACAGGGAAATGGTTCGTGAAGCGATCTGTCAGTTAGGAGAGAGCTTCTATTGACCCAGTGGGCGAGGAGTTGAACCAGCTCAATGCTCGCTCGGAGAACGTTGCGCGGAACATCTTGCACATCGCCGCATCAGTTGGGCCATATATATTTGTCATGGCGTAAAACTTTTGAAGGTGCTCATGTGGTCATTAGTTCAATGCACTGCGGTAAACTCGAGACCTTTAGCCGTTGGGGTAGTATCTCATTGAGTATTGCGACAGTAAAGGGACTACGCCTTATTAGAAGTATTGCCCTTCCACCAATAGGATTACTTATGGGGGGAAGGTGATTCGAGCGAGATACCCAACTGTTAATTTCATCATCTCCACCATTGTGTGGGGGAGCTTGTTGGCGAGAGGCGTTGTCTCTTGGAGGTAAACATGGGTCTTGTCGCCCAGTTCATGCATCAT